ATGACTACAGGTGTTACACATTTAATTTTAGGTTAATATTTGCAAGGTCAAGGTCACTGGAGATGATTAAATATCCAGATGTTGTCCGGAGCATATTTTCTACATGCATGGAGGAATTTTAATGTTACTTTTATAGAATTGTTCACCACCATGAGACGTAGTGCCCTGCACATAAACCAAGTCTCTAGGTCAAAGGTGAAGGTCACAGTTAGAGCTCATAGAAAAACACTTGTCTGGAGCAAAACTTCTACATGCATAGAGGGATTTCAATATAATTTGGCACAAATGTTCATCATTGTGAGGCTGAGTGCCGTGCATAAAATTCAGGTCCCTGCGACCAAGGTCAAGGTCACACATTCTATGCATATCTTCCCTATTGATTTGTTTTAAGGTTCATTTAACAACACAGTGCCAAGAATAAAAACTTGCTTGCTAGATAACACTTATCCATAATGCCCCCATCTCCATCTAAAGCTTTTTCGTAAACGGGCGTATTTTGTGACTATGGCACCCTTGTTGGATCTTCATATTACTATCAATAACAATTCTATTCACACGAAAATTTATGATAAAAGAGATGACTTTGACTTTTGTATAGTTAATTATCCACATTTGGATGGAGACTTACCCCAAGCAACATCCTACGGGGTTTATGTTTCTCAGTTAATTAGATTCGCTAGAGCTTGTAACAACGTAAAGGATTTCAACGAGCGGAATATTTTTATTACCAGCAAGCTTCTAAACAGGGCTACCGCTTTATCATAAATTACGGAAATATTTTACTAAATTTTACAATCGTAACTTTGATTTAATTTCTAAATTTAATAGTGATTTAAAAAACTCTTCTGCGACAAGGATTAGCCAGCCTGGTTTTTATGGCGATGTGGTTTACAAACTTCGTAAGATTTTGGGTCATGGTAATTTTTCTGCTGTTTTTACTAAAATCATTAAACGTTTTATTAAAAGAGGTTATGACCCTACTATTTTAAGACATACTGCATGTTTTAGTGTTTAACCCTTTTACAGTTGGACACTACGCTTTCCCTCTTTTGATTGCATCTGACGGACCAAGTGGGAGACTCTATGATGGATAGTTCGTAAAGCCCTTTGGGACTGAATTGTCTTAATGTTCGTCTTCTGCCTTGCTTCGTCGGGCCCTTGTAGGGTGATTTTCTTGTTTGCTCTGTCTTCCTTTAGGACATTGAGTACTTTTGTTATGGTCATTGGGTTTACTTTTATATGTTTCTACATGATCATTTTAGTGTTTTACTTATTTAACCTTTTGTAACCATGACAACTGTTAGAATTTCACTTGGCGGGGATTCATTTTATTTACACTGTCTCGTTTAAGGGAACATGGTGGGGCTAAGAGCGAGGTTTGGTGCACCATTAACCGGTTTAAACTCCCCAGCAGTCATTATTATGCTGCTGACCGTTCCAAGGCGGCGCCCCACTGTGTTCCTCAGATGTATGTCTATGTTGTTTCATACTGTTTTGGTGACACTTTTGCTTGTGTCCCTTGTTGTTTTCTCGTCTACGGTAAGTATCTTCCCCATTGCCTCTAGTTTTTGTTTCTTTGATTATCCCCCCCCCTTCCCCCGGTCTCCTGTCCCCTTCCCCTTTGTGGGCCTATTATTTTTTTCTTTGAATTCCTAATCAGTTACAAATTATTTATCATTTAATGATTAACGTGTCGTTGCCCTGTCCTTTTTATGTTTGGGGTCCACCTGGGCTCCTTGCCATTGGTTCTTGTTGCTGGGTCATATGGGGGTTGCGTTCATTGAACGCCGCCTTTCCTTGTTGATCTTGTTTTTCATATTTTATGTTACCTTTGTGTTGGCTTAAGTCAAGGTCACCCTTGAAGGTCGAAAAATGACTTAGAAAATGTTCTTAAATTTTAATATATACCTGAATATTTCTGAAACTAGCACAAATATTTGCTTGAAAGTTAAAAGATATATGAGGTGTTACAAGTAAGATATACACTGTATTGCATTTTGACAAAGTTATGCCCCTTTTTAAGTATTTAAATTTACATACAATCAATTTTAGACAATATGTTGTGTCGGCTCTATACATTCTATACTACTGGAAGGAATTTCTTCAAACTTGACTAATTTGTTCAACCCAACTGGGCAATGTGCAGAACTCATATTACCATTGTGCCAGCTTCAGGTCAAGGCCACACTTGGAATTTCAAAAATTGACGTAGAAAATGTTCTGAAATGTTAACATGAACTTGAATATTTCTAAAACTAGATCAGATAATCTTTGAAACTTCAAATATATACGAAGTGTCGCAAGTAAGATATGCAGGTCAAGTTTCATTACTAAAACAAGTGTGTGGGGGATAACTTTGTATTGTATTTTACTTGAAACTTTAAATTTACATGAATAAGGTTACAAGCAAGCTCAGATGACGAAAATTCTACAATTCCATTGAATAATGACACAAGTTATGTCCCTTTTTAGGCTTAGAAAATGTTCTGATATAACCATTATTACTCCAATGTTTCTGAAACTATAACATATATTCACTTGAAACTATATAATATATGACGGGTCACAAGTAAGCTCAGTATGCAAAGTTTTTACACTCTTAATTACATTTTGACATAATTATGCTATCTTCTACTTCACTGCTTTTGTTTGTTTTAATCATTTAATGATTAACGTGTCGTTGCCCTGTCCTTTTTATGTTTGGGGTCCGCCTGGGCTCCTTGCTATTGGTTCTTGTTGCTGGGTCATATGGGGGTTGCGTTCATTGAACGCCGCCTTTCCTTGTTGATCTTGTTTATCATATTTTAGTTCATTGGGAAAATGAAAAGTTATTTGTAACTGTTTCGAACATGATTATAAATATATTGATTTATATTATTACACGTACAATTTGTCTTTTTTCACCAGAGATAATTTCGTTTACTGTATATATGTATTTGTGCCACTAAAGTTATTCCCTAAAATAGATAAATACAGAATCCCTAAAGAGAGCCCAACACGGCAAAATTGAAAATGTTGCAGGCTCGGTTTGATTGAGCCTGTTCATGGACGGTACTGGAAAGTGCAAGTTACCGTCCACGCCCCCTAGCACCGGCTTAAGCAGAATTCAACATTCAAACATGAAATAGTAAAATTTTGAATTTAGAAACATCCGCAGATGTGTTCATACGGCGGTTATCATGGAACCTTCAATGTGACACAGTAGTTCCATTCCATGAAAAGCGGAGTATGGTCCCCAAGTAATAAAAAGCTTGTGCCCTAAACGAGAAAACAATGGGCGGAACTAAATAAAATGGAATTTTGAAAGGGGATCAGAGGTTATGAAGCCTGCGTATCACAGATAAGACGTCAAAAGACAGATTTAAAAAGCAGGCAACATATCCTAAGGGTGATTCAACATTATTCAAGTAGGAATATTGGAACCACCCAACTAGAAAATGCCGAAAAGTTGAAACTAAAAATACTTCAAGCACGACAATAATGTCGTGCTGAACGATCTTCAAGGATCGAAAATATAACATCATTGATTAAATGTACGGGGAGACTTTTTACAGCCGCCACACGGCACAAATAACACGGATGTGATCATAAAATAGATAAATACAGAATCCCTAAAGAGAGCCCAACACGGCAAAATTGAAAATGTTGCAGGCTCGGTTTGATTGAGCCTGTTCATGGACGGTACTGGAAAGTGCAAGTTACCGTCCACGCCCCCTAGCACCGGCTTAAGCAGAATTCAACATTCAAACATGAAATAGTAAAATTTTGAATTTAGAAACATCCGCAGATGTGTTCATACGGCGGTTATCATGGAACCTTCAATGTGACACAGTAGTTCCATTCCATGAAAAGCGGCGTATGGTCCCCAAGTAATAAAAAGCTTGTGCCCTAAACGAGAAAACAATGGGCGGAACTAAATAAAATGGAATTTTGAAAGGGGATCAGAGGTTATGAAGCCTGCGTATCACAGATAAGACGTCAAAAGACAGATTTAAAAAGCAGGCTACATATCCTAAGGGTGATTCAACATTATTCAAGTAGGAATATTGGAACCACCCAACTAGAAAATGCCGAAAAGTTGAAACAAAAAATACCACAAGCACAACAATAGAAATGTTCACCAATATGAGAAGTAGTGTCGCGTGCATAAACCTCTAGGTTTAAGGTCACACTTAGAGTTCATTGAAAAATGCTTGTTCGGAGCGTAACTTCATTCATCGGAGGATTTTAAATTAAAATGTAACTTTGCACACATGTTCACAATTGGGAGGCTTATTGCGCACAAAATCCAGGCCCCTCTACCAAAAATAGAGAAAACCAGAATCCCTTAGGAAAACCCAACACGTCATGATTATAAATGTAGCAGGCTCGGTTAGATGGAGCCTGTTCATGGACGGTACTGGAAAGTGCAATTAACCGTCCACACCCCCCCCAGCACCGGTTCAAGCAGAATTCAACATTTAAACACGAAAATGGTGATATTTTGAATTAAGAAACATCCGCAGAAGTGTTCATACGGTGGTTATCAGTCAAGGTCACATAGAGAGGTCAAAGTTTGTGTATGGGGACCATTAAGTCATCATATCAATGCCCATATCTCTGTCAAAAGCTTTTGTGACGGGCGTTTTTTACAACAATTTTGCCCTTGTTTAGCTATTTTTGACACAAGTTGATAATTGCATTTTTTACTAAGTCAAGTGTAATATCTTTGACAAAACAGAACAAACTCACAAGCGAAACCCAAAGTGCGCAACTTCTCATGCTGGCCTGTAAATGTAAATGACCCTAGGTCAAATACTTTTTGTGCTATGTGCGACACAAGTTGAAAAATGCATTTTTTTTACTTAGTCAAGGGGCAATAACTCAGACAGATCAGACTCAATTTACCAGAAAAACCCCAGGTGCACAACTACAAAGGCTGAGCAACATTTCTTTAGAGTTTTGTGACTCTAGGTCAAATACTTTTTGAGCTACGAGCAACATAAATTGAAAATTACAAATAACGTGCGACACAAATGAGAATGGACGGACGGACACTTCTCAGTCTCATATATAGCATATTTTCTAAAACAAACAAATGAATTTATATTAAATGGATATAAGTTAAATTTATTATTCATAGCATAAATGTGATTTTAAGCAAGAGAGATGTTTTAACTAAAATGAAAAGAATATTGATATTAGTTCATTAGCTGGGCTACTTACAAAAGCTTGAAAACACAGTTTATTAGCTGGGCTACTTACAAAAGCTGTACTATCTTCCTTTGAATATGTTGATGTACTCGCCGGAGAAAAGATTCTTTGAGCATGCCAATCACCTTGTTCCGTAATTTTCTTCGTTTTTTCTTTGTGATATTTTTCTTTTTCTTGTGCCCCTTTCGTTGAATCAATATCTTTTAAAAATCGCCGCGTCGTCGCTGTCTTGTACCTTTTCTCTTCTTCATCTTTAATTCTATAACTGATATCTTTTCCTTCTGTACAGTATTTTGAAATCTAAAAATAACCGTGCTAAATATAAGACGATTGTATGCTAAATAAAGAGCAAGAAAATGATTTTTTATTGTCGCATTTAAAAATTTCTCTCTCTATCTCTCTTTTCTTAAAATATGATAAACAAGATCGACAAGGAAAGGCGGCATTCAATGAACGCAGCCCCCACCCGACCCAGCAACAAGCGCCAGCGGCAAGGAGCCCAGGAGGACCCCAAAGAAAAACAGGACAGGGCGCAAGGCAGAGTACGGGCAGGCAAACCACTACATCAGAATACATAATAAGTAACTTATAAGGAAATAAAACAAAACAAATAAATGATTTAATATAAGGCCCACAATGTCAAAGGCACAGGGGAAGGGGACATGAGACACGGGGAAGGCGGGGGAATAAAATAAATATAAACCAGGGACAAAGGGAAGATACTTACCGTAGACGAGAAACAACAAGAGACACGAGCAAAAGTGTTACCAAAACAGTATAAAACAACATAGACATACATCTGAGGAACACAGAGGGGCGCCGCCTTGGAACGGTCAGCAGCATAATAATGACTACTGGGGAGTTTAAACCGGTTAATGGTGCACCAAACCTCGCTCTTAGCCCCACCATGTTCCTATAAACGAGACAGTGTAAATAAAATGAATCCCCGCCAAGTGAAATTCTTAAGTTTGTGTTGTCACTGTTGAAGGGCCAATTCACGATATAACCACAAAAAGGAAAAAGAGAGCGTGACAAAATAATAAAATAATATACGTTTCTCATTCGGTAACTCTTTCTCGTTATTGCTACTTGTAACTACCACAACAATACAAAATAACGGAATGGCAAATGTCAGACACCATAGTTTATTAAGCATAATTCATCAACAATTTGCAAAATAACAGTTTGACTGTTTCTGCACTTAAACATTGATCTGTCATGGAGTAAAGCAGTCAAATTCTATTTTTGATTTATATATTGTCATTTTTGTTTATACGATTTGTTGATTTTAGGAAACGTTTTGTGTCATTTCATATAAAAGTTAATGTAATTTAATGACACATACGTAATTAATCGATTAAAAGGAACTGCCTAGATCACATTCCAACAGGATTTGCATAAATGTGATTTTAAGCAAGGGAGATGTATATAACTATAATTAACAAAATAAGAACATTGAAAACACATTTTTTGGCTTGCCTACTTACAAAAACTTGAAAACACAGTTTATTAGCTGGGCTACTTACAAAAGCTGTACTATCTTCCTTTGAATATGTTGATGTACTCACCGGAGAAAACATTGTTTGATCATGCCAATCATCTTGTTCCGTAATTATCTTCTCTTTTTCTGTGTGATATTTTTCTTTTTCTTGTGCCCCTTTCGTTGAATCAATATCTTCTAAAAAACGTCGCTTGATCGCTGTCTTGTGACATTTCTCTTCTTCATCTTTAACACTATAACTGATTTCCTTTTCTTCTTTACATAATTTTGAAATCTTAACATCACCAGTCTTAATCGGTTGCATGATATCACCCTGTCCATTTAGGTTTTCTACCTCATCATCGGTGAACGTATCTATTTTATAACAAGCAGTATGCTATAAACTATTAAAACCTCAATTCGAAATGTATCGTATCATTATTTAAGGAAATCATACTCTTTATCATTTCATTTTATTGACTGTCACGGGCACCGTGTAAAATGAAACAGTTCAAACCAGAAACGAATAATTTATTAATCCTATATATTTTTGTTTCAAGTGAACATTATAAAATCAAAAATAGCTAACGTCCTGTTAAATTCGTCACGTTTTCTTATTTTTTAAAGACAAACAAACCAAAGAAGAATTTTGTGTTCCAGAATTCTCCAAAAACATCTTTTCTTGAATAAAATATAATTAATTTCATATTTGACACGGACAGTCAAGGCCATTAAAAGATAAGGGACACACATAAAATCAATACTGTCAATAACATATCGATGTCGTCATAGGTGTTGTTCTGTCACATTATAAATAAATAAATAAATAAAAAACACTTTTAAGCACAATTAAAACTTTACCATGACGATCAAAAGTAGATCAGTTTTCGAATTAAAGTTTTGTTTTTGTCGAAGTATAAATAAAACAGTAATCATGTTATCTCAAGGCAGAGAAATAGTTTGACCCTGACGGTCAAAGATACTTTTATTTGAGTGATTCAATACTTCAGTGCCTTAAGAGTCATTTTGTCTGAGAACGAGTCAAATACGTAAACAAGGTCATGACCACGACATTCGACCACGATAATTTGAAGTTTAAGGTCATATTGAAAGTAGTCAACATGACGGGTTTATCATAAGTGTCAAATCTATCCAAATTTAAGTATAAAGCAAAACTATAAATGCATAATAACAAAATATGATAATATGACAATTTAAGCAAATTTCAATAGCTTTTAAAATTGTTTTGGGTACAATAATTAATCACATTTGCCATCATTACATTGAAGCAAATGTCAAGTATTTTGCATCCAAACTCAAGGTGATTGAAAAGGTCAAGGTCATATTTGAATACATCAACATATTGGATTTGTCGTAAACAATGTTTGCAAATTTGTCATATAATGCCAATGTCAAATAACGGTCGAGGTCAATTTTAATAAGATAATGATGTGTGTTTTGTCCTATGCATTATTGAATTTTGCCCAAATATGAAGAAATTCAATTTATTACCTGCAAAGTTATAACAAATTATGGTAAAAACAGTAAAATAACAATGATTTAACCTTTAGTGTTTCCATGAGTCAAGGTCAAATTGATTTTGATAGTCTTTAAAATAGTGTCCTAAATGTAGTTTTGTTGAAAAAGTCCATTCATAAGTTTTTGCTAGAAACAGCAAACATCAAGCAAAATTCAAAATTTGACCATCAAATTTTGAATCAATTCTGAGTAAAGGTCACAGTCAATGACGGACATATCCTGGAGACGGTTTAGTCCAATTAAGAAATCAACCAAGTGGTAAATAAATATAGCCAAATGTCAATAAGGACGAACTCATGAGTGTAGGAATAACTCGATTTTTTTTACTTCCATAAAGTCGAACTAAAATAACATAAACTTATACTAACCATCCGTTTCACGATTCACATTTGTCGAGCAACTTGCTTGAATCGATAAATGCTGGGTACTGAATTCTGATTCAAGTTCTGTTTTCAGTAGTTGTAGACAAGTATGAAGCTCGTTGTTGCAGTCTTCATAGAAAGATTCGCTACTTTTAGATTTTGCGTTCCGAGCTGAAAATGATAATGTTAACCTCCTGCCCTCATTGAGTGGTTGAACGTTATCGACGTTGAGTTCCGATAAAAATCTATCGACAGATGAGACTAAAAATATTTCAAGAAAGTTAGCTCATTTAGCACAAATTCATTAAAAACAGAAATAGATTGGTGTACACACAACAAATTTGTCTAATACGAGAAACAAAGTAATTTGTACTTGCAATAATACTGTAACACATATTTATTCAATATAACAAAAAACCCTTGAATGTTCAAGGTCAAATTCCTTACGCTTTATAATTGCGAAATCTCATAAAATTGCGGTTAATTACAAACAGTGATGACTTATTCAATAATGATACAATAACCGCAGCTTGAGTATGGAGTTCAGATCAATATATTTGAGTTTTTTTCAACAATCAAAATGGCATAGCTACACCAGGTAGAATCCTGGCAGTTTTACGGAAATTAAACGAATCATTTATTCTCAACGCAATAAATTTGAAACGTTTCAATATACAAATGTACTATCAAACAAAATAGCAATAAGGAACGCTAAATATTATATTGTCATAAGAGAACATAGTTTCTTACTTGATTTATCCAAAACATTCCAAAACTCGTCTCTATAAATAGTAGTTTGAATACATGGCTTCCCTCCACTGACCAATTCTGAAATGTTTTATTGACTGCCGCTCTTAGCCTACCATATGAATCGAGTGGTATGCTGGATTTGAAATCATTGTTCTGATTCATGGCCTCTTCAAACAGCTGTTTTAGAACATCAGACATATGTGCTTCTTCGTCATTACTGACATTTTTCAAATCAAGAACAATGTTAACTCCTGTAGCAAGAAATGAAGTATAAGAGCGTTTATGGTTAAAAAAATCAATAAATTTGAATATAAATTAATAGGTAATGATCGCACACATATAACATGAAATGCGTTATTCGTGTTGCCCTACGAGCATCAATATTGTTCACGTATTAAGTTTGTAAAAAGTAAGTGTTTCACTTTGATAGATTGATTTTCATTAATTTATCATAAAAAGCAAAATAGATGCACTTAAAAACAAACATATAATATAATAAAGTAATTTCTTTTAATAAGGAGATTAATTTATAAACATTTGTCTATACAGAATTCATACATTGCAATCTCTACCGCTGATGCTCATAAATCTATCGCAAAGAAAGAGACTAAATAAATGTATAAAATGACCTTTACCGGGAACAAGAACATTGTTCTTTGCTGAATCGATTCCTGAACTTCCCCTTTGGTCAAGCTTATTATTTATGACTTCAAACTTTTCGTCTAGTTTGTCTAACTTGTCTAAAACAATTTCTTCAACTGTAAAAATAAATAAAATACGTTGACACAAATGCATGAAATTCAATGTGTTATCGGATTCAGAATATATTGAAAAAAAATAATGTGAAAAGAACCCCATTATTCAAAGTGGCAGTGTATGAATATGTTCATCAACATGACATACTATTAAGATTTGAACCGGTAAATAATGTTTGGATAATGTGGTGCATTAGTATAAAAGTTACATACCGTGGTCCAATTTTTCACGGATGTCCATTTCCATCAAGTAAAACTTACGGATCTCTTTAAGCGTTTCGTCAAGCGAAAGAGGTCCACTTTCTAAATCCTTGATGATAGCGTCAATTTCTAGCTTCAAATTGTTGTCGTCGAGTTTCTCTAAGATTCTACCAATTATCACTTGTATCATTTCAAGTTTGTTTTTGAACAAGGTATTTGTGATTTCAGCGTCGTTCATGTGACAGAGATCATTCCGTATTGTTCGTAATTGTTTTATGTCCATAAGATTTATATCAGTCAAACCACAGTACGAAGAAAGGACTTGACAGAAAAGTGATAAATCCCAGTTTGAAAGAACTGTTTCGCCGGTTTTAGGGAAAAGGACTTTCAACTTCTCTTTTGAAAGCTTTGAGTTCTTTATAGTTTGCTTTTTACTTTCCAAAAATGTTGTAAGTGTCCATTCGTTTTGTTGAAAGTCACCTGGTTTAAGCTCTTCCACACGCTTTAATAGAAGATTATGACATGCTTTTGTCCCAGCTTTACTAAGCATGAGACACAGTCTGCAATGTTTTTCTGTGCCGCTTGTTGACATTTTGATAAACAAATCTGAAGTTTGAACAAACGTAAAATAACTGTTCAATTATATGTGTATTTAGCAAACCATTTTCTTGCATATGAAATAAATTGAAATGTGTTTAATTCTTATTTAAAACAACATACGATTTCGTTTGAATACATCTTAAACATGAGCTTAAAGTAAAAAAAGTGTTCACGTGGACATCTGATAATATTTTTGGACCCATTTTAAACACGTAGTACATATCTTTCATTTTCATTATATAACGGAATAAATATTCATTTTGATTTCATTAAAATAATTTTTCTTTTTAAACTATCTTACTTGTAAAGTATACAAAATCATGTTTTTGCATAAAAGCTGCACAAACTGGTACACATTAACAGAGGACAAAACATGCATGAACTAATATACGCGCCGTTGTTGCTCTTTTCTAATATGCGTAACTCAGAAACAACTTAATACAAAGACGGTCCGGTAGTTTAATTATCAAAACATAACTGTCAAATGAGGTCACACTGGCAAGAGAAAATCTTTGGATCACAAGCAGTGGTTCTTGACACAAAATACAAATAAGGAAACGCTGAATAGCTAGTTAGGACGGGATTGGGCTTTAAATGGGTCCTCGTTCTTCTGCAAATGTAAACGACGAAGAAAATGTGCCTCACCCCTCTTCTATTATGATCCAACCTGACTACTTAAGGTTTATCACAAATAAGAATACACCCTTTGTTGTTAGCATGCATAAAACATGATAACCCTGACAACCAGTGACAATTAAGCTGTTTTTTTATACATGTTTATATTGATTCATAAAAAGGTAGTTAAAACCTGACACAAGTTAAATAAACCGTGTTTATACCCGTAAAAGAAACGAACTAAAGGCCACTATTAAGTGTTGTTTTTTTTAATTAACTTGATCTAATTATTTTGTTTAATGTTCTACATTTCACAAGCAATTTTGACTAAACTTTAACAAAAGCTTTGTCATCATGTCCCCTGGTGCAAAATGTCGGGGTTTTGTGATTCGACTTTTTTACCTAATTATTATGGCCCTTATTTTTTTCTTCATATTACATAATATATAATCAATATCTTCTCTGCACAACTCCTACATTTTCCAAAGATGTTTGGGTCCCTTATGGTCAATGTCAAGGCCACTGTTCTGTTACTAGTTAATAACTTAATTTTGTGATAAGACATTTCAATGAAATTTGCTGTTTTTATAAAGATCTCCTTTGGTCCAATAACTGTAACAAAAAATTGAAAATCGGTTTCAGGTCAATAAATATAGTTTGGAATGGAAAATTTCAATGAAGCGTGGCGTATAGTAAAGTTGCTTGAAGATCTCGCTCAATATTTCTTTTTGTCAAGGTCAAGGTCACAGTTACTTAAAATAGACAATCGTCTCAAGGTCAGTAACTAAAGATATTTCAGTTTATAGTAAGCTTTTGGAAAGCTGTCCTTTGAACTGCTTTTGGGCCTCAAGATAAAGGCCAAGGTCACTGTTACTAAAATAGAATATCGATTCCGGTGATATTTAGTTCTCTATATATTTTATAAAAAAGTCAAAATTGTTTTACTCCCGCATCTATTTTACAGACCAATACTTTATATAACTTTCGTAAGTGATAGAGGTAAGATTATGTAACCTTATGTATATCAAATTTATTAGTACCGTAATAATATTTTAAATGTATGTATAACAAAAGATATTCTTTCAAGATTGTATTTATGTTGCAACATAGATCACGAAAAAAAAGATCGTATTTTATTTAAAAGCTTTAATCTTTTTTGAAAATATTTCAGGTTTAATAAAACTATCAGTAAAGCCAACATTGCAGAAAACATTGCAATGTTTATTTTTAATTTCATTGACAGGGAAGCAACTGCACATCTAAATTAGAAATTGTAAAGCCCTATCACATTATGACGTGTAAAGCGTATAAAGAGGTAACCCAACCAGCGTATAAAGAGGCAATCCGATCCGAGACTCAATGTTTTGAAAATATATAAACGGTCTATGCCGACCAATTGATATATTTTAATCAATTTAAACAGTGCCTGATAAATCAATTAAGGTAAATTTATACTCGTATATGTTTAATTATTTTATAGGAATAAGGACACAAATAGGTTATTTTAACCTACATTTTTATCGTCCGGGTTTCTTTGTCTGTAAACAAAATACTATATAAGCCTTTTTAGGAAAAAAAAAAATTAAAGCATAAAAAAATATCTTTACTTTTACCGTTTTTATCCGGGTACGCTAGGGGTTTTAAAACAATACTAAATATAATGTAAATCAAATGTTCTATGTAGGTTGAAGACAAATGAACAAAACAAAAGCAAATAGATCTACATTGGACACGTGAACCCATTGCTCGGTTGTTTACAGGTTTTGTTAACAACGATCATTTTTATCTTTATGTGGTAACCTGATATATACTGATTGCAACGATGCATTAAACTTGAAAAGTGATAGTTCATCCATTTTTTTTTTTCGTTATATTTCATTCATTATAGTAAATTGGATTTAACATCTCTCATCTTTTGCATAAGCAGTCCTTTTAATATGTGTTTTTTAAAGTGGTCAATATATGTACGAGGGTTGTCCCAAAAGTCAGTGACAAATTTTACAGACGGTTCATTTTTAACGCTAATAGATAATAATTCACACATATAGCCGTTTAGTTTATTATTCAACATTACAACAAATCATTTACAAAATATTTGAGTTGCCGGCGCGCATCAATTAATTTGCATTTTGTTATGAATAGGCTAAACTTAATTACATATATTTAAAATTTTTGAATTCCCTTCCCCAAAATGTCCTTGACTTCCTCTGCTCTATTTTAAATGTCTCAGAAATTTTATTAAAAAACCTACGAAACGAACAAAATACGGATAAATGAAAAACATCTTTCATAGAAAAATAGGCAACGTTAAAAAATGGTGACGTTCGAAGAATTTTTGCGGCGCAGTGAATAGGTCACTCAGGTTTTCGTGACTATTTTTCGAGATACACATGTTAAGATTTTTCAACAAATATACCAAATAGACAGTTTTAGCAACATATCCGAGCATTTTTACTAAAAGGCATGAACAGACCAGTTCTACACTACAAAAAGCGAAAATAAGAAAAACACGGATAGGAAGAAACCGATCTCTTCGCCTATTTCCTACAGCTAAAAGCAGGTGCACGAGAATGGAAGTTCGCGTTTAAAAACAATTAATTAATAAACAATTAATGTATGCCATCCAAACATTCTACATACATTAACAACCACATGATGAAAGTCTATTTTTGACGATTTATGGGTAAAGCCTGCACCAATTATTGCGTTAAAAGCCATTGAAAGTATTTGAGATAGGCGCCTTATATAGATTTAACGCCGTCTTTGACGTTTGACGTACGCCGCGATTCAGATAGTTGCCATGGTATTTACGGCATATTTGTGTTGTTTGTTGATATTTTTCTATGTATATGCATGTTTTCATAAGACACAAACAAATTTTTCTTCCGGGTTTATATCACCTGTAATCAATTGTTGCAATATTTTAAACAAATGATAAAAGTAATTGCCGAAAGTATAAAACGAAATAAGTTAGATTTTACCTGAAACTGGTTAAATTATTTACGTCGATTAATTGTCACTGACTGATGTATACTCCGGGCTTTGTTTTCATTTCAAAATTGCGTTGTACTAATACCGCCATTTTGCATACGGATACGATTTCGGTTAAACAATACTAAATATAATGTTACTTCAACGTACTGTGTAGGTTGCACACCATTATATCGTATCAAGTGTGTGGATTTTAAAATTATTATCTATTTGATATTTTATTGTTACTATACGGAATACATAGAATGAAAGAAACGTTTGAGTATATTTAATTAAAAGCAAATAGGGCTAGCGTGAAGTCGTCGCAAAACTTACCATAGGCTACTACAATTATCAGCAGAATATTTTGTTCCGGGACATTCATTCTGTTTATAAACAAAAGGCATGTAAATTAAATACATAAAACAACATGGAAATTCTATGTTACAAACGGCCATAATTGTACGTGTTACCGTATCGTCAATAATAAGTACCTTGATAACATCTTCATTGATTGTCTAGATCTAAAAATTATTCCTTAAAATCACACTGATTTATAATAAAACGTAGTCTTGTAAAAAAGTGTAAATGGAATAATTATACGAAACACATTGTAGTTCTATGTGTAAAGATATATTTTAGTGGCAACTAATTTGTTTATGTTGTTATTATATGCCCCACCCTCTCCAAACGAAGTAAAGGGGGTAAATAGAAGTCAGCTTGTCGGTCAGTAGGTCCACATCATTGTTTCCGGACGATAACTAGAGTTTGTAATTAGTTTTTTTAATCAAACATGTTATATAACAACCGCATGTTAAATCCCTGGTGGGAATTGCTTTAGGACCCCCTGGGGACAATGTCACTGCTAATAAAAATAGAAAAACTGTTAACGGGCAATGACTAGTGTTAGCAAAATAGCTTATATAAAGACCCTGGTTGGAATTGCTTTCTGATCCCCTGGGGTCAAAATCATTGCAACAGTTACTAAAAAATAGAAAACTAGTTTCCACACAAAAGCAAAAGTTAGCAATCTGATACTGTAATCAAACTTACCATATAGCAAGCTTATATAAAAATCCGAGTTGTGATTGCATTTGGGCACCTTATAGTCAAATTTAATGCCACGTTCACTATTAAAAGAAAATGGGTTCCAAATTGTTAACAACAGTTAGCTATAAAGTAGTGTAGTCAAACAGCAGACTAATGTGTAAATATCATGCTTGGGATTTCTTTTCATTTCACCTCGTTAGTTCAAGTCAATGTCACTGTTACTAAAAATAGAAAAATGGTTTGTGGACAAGAACTAGAGTGTTGAATGTGATGTTGTAATAATACTTGGCGTTGAGCAAGGTTATGAAGAGACCTGGCTTTAGATTGTTGTTGGACCCCCAAGTTTTAAGGTCAAGGTCACTGTTACTAAAGATAAAAAAATTGTATCTAGAGGATTATTATTTGTAATGATTATTTGTACATAGATGAAACATCATAGAATAAAGGTCGAGTAAAATTTTTACTTCAGACCACCTTTTTTTCAAAAGATTAAAGGTTGCTGGCGCGGGTATGAATCACCTTTTAAATAGCTCTAGTTGTTGATGTTCCTGCTGGTGATGCTGATGAAGCAGTTTTTTTATTTCGTTGTATTTTGTTATTCAGTTACATATCAGCAACATATTAGAATATATCACATATTAACATATATGTTAATATAGTTTTTACAATACGTGATAATGAACCGTATTGTCCATCCTTCCATTGCGTATGTTTGGAATTTATATCTGTACATTGACCCATGTTTTTAGACATGGATTTGAATATAGCAAATAATTACTCATGCTAGAACAAAAACTAAATTTACATATTGATTCATCTTTTCCCTTTGATTGTTTCTCATTAAATGTCGTGGCGGGGTTTACAGCCTACTTACTATTGATACATTTTGAAGGTGTTAACATAATCATTCGTCTACTATAATTTGCCTAGTGCAAGAACCATTCATTTTTTACAAGAAATAATACTACAATTTGCCGCTGCTGTGTATATGAATAATATAAATGACATTATCCCAACCTAAAGGGATCCTTCTGATCTGTATTTATTAGTAATTCATTGCACACACAACCCAATCTAACTTCTAATTCCCAGGTGTTTTCTGTATTTTTTTGGGGGGCTTCATACGTATCACATTCTCACCACTAAAAAACAAAAAACACAAAAAATATATTTTCAGATTTTACTAAAATTGGCTCTATTCAATTAACTTTTAAATTTAGTCCACTGCTTACTTTTATTAATCTAAAAGAAACGGTCTTACGTTTTTCTTACCATTCTATTACAATTATCTCGCTGTGATTTTAAGAACGTTCAAACAAAAGTTCTGTCCTCCTTATGCTAATATGTTTTAAGCAATTTTACATTTGATATAATGTTTTGACAAGTTTTGGTGTCAACTAACTTAGGGGCATCAACTGTCCAACATTTATTTTTGCAATCCAACAAGTTATTTTCCGAAAGATAATTCCTTTATTCATGGTTGATAATTTAAAAAAAATAGACCTGCAATAACCACATCGGCAAAGGTCAATGGAATTTTAGGAAATCATCAAATCTGAATGAAAATCATAATGATTTCATATATTTTCTTATGTTAATTCATCAATGTTACAAACATTTTGTTTCTCATTTGCTACTCCTTGTAAAAAAACTGCAAACTGGGTTGACACGTGATATAGAATGTAATTTCAAATCGCTTCTACTCCAGAGTCATTATAAATTGGTTTCATACAATTTAAGACCTACACTCAAATTCGATGAAAACCGTGTATACGATGACTTTCGTACTTATAACTAAATCACTGCACTGTGACATTTTAAAAAAAACTTGTATATCGGATAAATCCTTGGATTCGGTTAGTTAATGTTTTAAAAGATATATTTATTTGAAGAAAAGTTGAGAGGTTTTTTTTGTTGGATGCAAAAAATGTAAATTTTGTTTACTGTTTCTTTTCCATAAGTCTATTCATTTCATTGGTTGACCATTTATTCTGCACAAGGGCTAGGGATGTCGAGATCGTCTAAAACGTGATTATGTCGGTGGTTGTGGTTCAAACATATAATGTTGACTACAAACGGATCACCCTCAGCGCATTTTGCAGTAAGTTCATCCATAACATGTACTTAAATGTAAATCATGTTGCGAGAAAAACTGCACTTTATCGTTCTTATCAATATCTTTCATATGGATATATGAACGTCACTTCCGGTTTGAGGCCGCACCTACATAACTGGTAGCAACCCTTACAAAACAAAGTCATACAGTAGGCATCAACTAATATAAAACTATTTTAACCTTTTCAACTGGTTTTGGTGTTTCTTCTTATTTATCTAAAAACAATTATTCATTGGTTTCATTAAAACAGTGCTTAACAGTGACACGTGAAGAATTTACATTTGTTCCGAATCTGTACCATTTACTTTTGTACTTGCTATGACACGGCTATTTTTAAGGTTCTTACTTCTCTATCTTACACTTCTTAACGAAAATCGTTAGACGACTTCTTAAATTTATATATAAAGGCTGCATGTCAGAACGTCAAAAGAATTGGTTTATTCTTATTCTTATCTAATTATTAATGTTAGTTCGATTGTGTAGGAAGCTATAAGCTAAAAGACACACTTTCGAATCCGTTTCTGGAACCAACCAGTAGTGAGCAAGAAGTGTAAAGTTTCTTGTTCAAGGAATCAACTACTTGCCCTGGCAGGGTTTGAACCCATGCGGCTAGCTGTCAAAAGATTACTAGTTCGACGTGTTAACTATTCGGCTATGCCGCCACGTCAAAAGGATTGCTTTTGTCATAACTTAAGTTTCTTAATCAACTACATTTTTGAAGTTATTTTTTAAAAATTCGGATTATTCTTTCGCTGCCCTGCAGGATATGCAAACGCTAATAAGAAAACATAGTAACGGCAAGACTTAGTATGAAAAATCAATACAAAACACAGTTTCAATTATATCAATGAAGTTTAATCAAATTGCTTTTCCATTTGAGCATCTCTTTGAATTTTAATCATAGTTAACAAAGTGAAGTGAGAACTGAGAAGAATTCAGTATGTTTTATATTTTAAGCATATAATATAAAAGTACCAATATTAATTCCTTGATTAAATATAAACTGTAAAGTAGCGAAATAATATGATTATTTTCATGAAATATAACTTTATGCTATAAAGAATAGAAATTAAAGAAGTTATTGCATTGTTAAATAGCAAAGTCAAATAACACAAACAAAAATGAAGTAACTGTAACACTTTTACACATAAACACAATGATGATACCAATAAAACAATGTAATTTAAAACCATTATAAAACTAATAAAAAGAGTTTATAATGGATTTGTATGTGTATGTTTTGTTTCCTTGTTTCCCTATGTACTTGCTATTTTTCTCTTTTATTCAATGATTTTGAATGTATGATGTATGAGGTATTTGCAATGTATGCACAGGTGGTACATTAATATGGATTTCATTGTAGCATATGTGTTGGTATTTTATCGTAAAAATATGACTGTAATGTAAATGTAAATAGCTGTATTGTTATTAATGAATAATATAAATGAGAAAAAGATCAATAAAACCATTATGGATCTGAATCGCAAATTGTATAAACATACTTCATTTCTTCCGTAATGAAATGTTTAAAACTCATATATGGGACTCCGATGGTCAAATGTTATTAGCAAAGCATTTATACATATTTTTTCTATTTAAGCGTTTCTAAATTAAAATCAAGCGAAATTTAACGGAGGCTTGTTTACCTACGGCTGCTACAAACCAAATTATCATGTCTGTGATTAAGGACAACCAACTGAAACAATAATTATTTGAATAATTATTTTAAAGGATATAATCTCATTATAGATATGTGTCATATTAAGTGTTAGAGCTCTCATATTTGTTACATTGATGTTACGTATATGTTACTTGGCGTTATTCTTACATCATATTTCAAGCGTTTCAATAATTTGCGCCCATTTGAGGCATTATCTCATCTATCTTAAGAAGAATACATTTTCTGATTAATATTTAACAAATTGATACAAATAAAACAAATCCAGACAACATCATATATGCAACTCATTCAAAAATGATAGTGTTATACATTATATTATCATAACAAAGGTGCATTATGACAAACGTATCAAAAAACTACAACAAGTAAGTGAGCAACCATTATCCTTTACTCGTACAAATATATTATCATTTATTCATAATTCATATAAAGCAATGCAAATATATACAAAGCTTTCAATCATAATTTTATCAAAGCTACAAGTAGCTTAACATTTTATATCTGAACAAAATAATTTATAGTTTTTGTATGTAAGAAGTGTTATTATTAGAAAGTTTCTGAATACAAATAATATGTAAGTATGCAATTTTTAACCTGGTCTGAATGTGTTATCATATTTAATTTGAAGCTTGATTATAAAACAAGCCTTAGAGTTCGCTATTAACACTTACAAGTACAAATGTCTTATTTGTGTTTTAAATTGGTACTTTTTAGAGAACAGTGTTATTCCTTTCTTTTTCTTTCTTGTTAAAATGAATCGATCATATTTTTGTTTCCAACTCTTTTAATATCTCTCTTAACCTTTCCACTCTTTCATGATCTAGCCGATGTCTAGACCATATAGACAGACTGTGTGTATAGTCTATCATATCATTTGAATTTTTGCAATCCTGTGCAAGCTGTTTAACGTGAGACCATTCCTGAAATTGACAACAATGCGATGATCACGCATTACATGAAATGTATCTCAAGAAATTATATTTGCTACTTTTTTAACAAAAAAATGTAAATAATAAGATTACTTTGAAAATACAACAAACATCTTTTATCCATTGAAAACAAGTTAGAGAACACGCGTGCTAGGCTATGGAAGTGAGCATTAAGACTTTCTCACATTTCCAAATATTGGTAAATTTTTCAAAATGCAATAATCGATTACTGATGCTAGCAGATATAACAAATATGTACTCGTATGTCAGGGGGAAAAGTATACATATACGTATTCATAGATATATACATATCATTATATTAATACAATTACATGTCAGGGAATATTACACAAATAATCATACTTTATAAGAATGTTGCAGCAGCAGGATAATATAACAATATATTTAATAAAAACACAACTCTGCTGTATAAAAAATGTTTAATAATATTGTATCGACATGTAAAATGCTTCGTCAAAATAAACCGAACCTTTGTTAAAGTTGGAAGATCCAAGGATTTTCGGGTGGTATTTTTATTTTCATTTTCAATGTAATTTAAACTCTTGTACACTCGAGAGAGAGACAATCTTATCCGTTTCAGTTGGACCGTTATGCACTCGAAATGATCTTGTATCCGTTGAATACACCACAATGTTATACGTTCACCTATAATATACAACTTCAAAGCTTAAGAATTTTGAAAAAGAAAAAAAAAGATTACGCTAGAAGCGCATTGTCCTGCATATTAATTACATCAATCCGAAGGTCATAGTGTTATCATTGCAATAATACACTTAAAGTTTAAGATTCTCTTTTTTCTTTTATTAAATGATAGGGATACTCGTATTTTCTAAAACAAAAAAAAAGTTACAAAAGGTGCTGGGGTTAAGGAGGAAAAAGTAAAAATAGGGTTTTTAAAATTTTAAAAAATTTAAAAATAAAAAAATTTGTACTATAACCCGTTGTTAAAATAAAAATTATTTTTGAAAATAAATTTAAAAAAAAAAATTATTTTAAAATTTAAATTTCACAAAAAGAATAACTTAATAAAAAAGTGGCCCCTAGGGGGAAAACCTTTTAAAAAATCTATTGAAAAAAAGAAAATGTATGCTGTTAAGAAGGAAATGCTTTCGTGTGATCACAATACAACTTAATAACATTCGTGTATACTAAATTTCAAGAAAGAAATAATACCGTTACAATAAAATTAAAAAAAAATTAAAAAAAAAAAAATAAGCAAAAAATTAAAAACAATAAATGGCTTAAAGTTGCAATCTTGTATTAATAGAAAAAGTGGCGCTATAACTAAAAAACATTTAAAAATGACCCATTTTGATCGATTTGAATTATTGAACTAAATGCAATTTAAAATAATATTTTGGTGAATAAAAAAAATTGACCTCTTTTTTCTGAATTAAAAAATCCAGAAACGAAACCTAATCTTTTTACAACCAATTCTTTTTTTTTTTTTTACCGCCCAATAAATATAAATATGATAAAAAATGTTTTAATAAATATTTTAATTGAGTTTTTAAATATAGTAAAATACTTTTTTATAAAATATGTTAAACTTAAAAAAGTTAAGAATGACCTTAATAACTCTATAATATAAAGACAAACAATAAGTTACGGACACAAAATGTTTAACAAATAAATCAAAATATTGTTTTAAACAATTCTATTGAAACGATTGTAAAGACCAAAATAATGTACCCCATAAAAATTGATAATAAAATCACTTTTAATTTGAAAGCTGTTGAATAGATTATAAATCAACAAAATTTTACCTCGTAGTTGTAAAGACGCACTTTCTTGAACTTTGATAGGTAATTGTGAAGACGTCGAAATATATTCGTCTTGAACTTTAATAGGTCCGCTCTCTTCTTGATCCTTTTCCTTATGTAGTTTAAGAGGCATACTACGTTTCAGTTCATCTTCACTTGGCTGCTCTAGGGATACACTTGATGCTTGTTCTATTTTGCTTTGTAGTTTAGGATCCTTAATCAGTTTTGTTTCAAAATGTGACGTTAACTCTGACAAGAACGCCTTAATGTCTTCCACAATATTTGAATCACGCTGAAGTAAGATAATACACATATCTTATGAATATTAACTAAAGTAGAAATGTCAGAAAACATATTATTTATACAAATAAAAGCTGCATTCGATCGATGTGTGGATGAAATTTCTTCAAAACAGCAGGGATTTTTTCCAGGATTTTGGGAACACGACCCACACCCATGGAATTGGGAATTTCAGCGGTGTTTTGTTAAATATTAGGAAAAAATACATAATTGAAATTTTGCGGTGAGTAAATGGATGCAAACAATTACTGTCTATGATGGCATCTTCAAAAATTTAAGCACTATTATAGTGAAGAAGCCCTTATTTGCAAAGATTTTAGAATTTTTATTCATTTTTTTTATTTTGTAGCTTTCAATTGGGAATTGGTTACTGTGGATTGGGAAAATAATATAGTATTTTCAATTGGGAATATGACCCAATAGCGGCTATAAAATAAGCCAAAAAATCCCTGAAACATATAGTTAAACGTCAATATGCTTTGTTGCAACCACTATTGAAATAAAACCACTATTGAAATAAATTATTTCAATAGTGGTTGCAAATTATTTCTCATAATAAGCTTCATAACCCACCACTATTGAAGTAATTTATTTCAATAGTGGTCGTAATAAACTTCATCATCAACCACTATTGAAACAAGCAATTATCATAGTATTGCAAGCAATCCATAAGTCCCCTACCGGTTAGAACCCCAGCAACATTCTGAAGGGCCATTGGCCATTCACTTATGTTTCTATTTTAAGTAAATTTGTTAAAAAAGTTTTTTAAAAGTGATCACAGGAAACAGTTATTATGTACAGACAGACAGACAGACAGACAGACAGACAGACTGAAGGACACTCTAAAGTTATTTTCTTACCATCCCTGTTATCAAAATATAACATTTTTTAAAAGCAAAATTTTTAAAAAGGAGATAACTCTTGAAATAAAGATGCAAGATGTCATACATGATGTGAGTGTAACAAAGAACAATTAGTAATGAAGGTATGAATAATGAATGTTTATTTTGAATTTGAAGTAAATGAAAGTTAAAAGAACGAATAGGAAAAATTAAAAGTTTAAGGAGGAGATTATTCTGGAAATATAGATGCTAGATTTATAAACCTTGTCATAATTATTATTATGATGTGGGAGTTTGAAGAAAATCCTATCATGATTAGTAAAAATTACCAATTTCTCAAAGTTCAAGTTCAAAAGGGGCATAATTCTGGAAATAGTTTTGCTAGAGTATTGAACTTTCTCACAAAAGTTGAGTGATAATAAGAAACATTTATAAGAAGATTGAAGTAGATACATTCAGAAAAGAAGAATTTATTTAAAAAAAAACAATATTTTTCATTAAAATTTTAAGTTCAAGGCAGATAATTCTGACAAATTTTGTCCTAGAGTTGTAAACCTTGTCACATATGATGTGGTTGATGTCTAGCAACTTATATTTAAAGTTTGAAGAAAATACCTTATGAAATAAAGAACTTATAGTGAAAAAACTTAAAAACTAGAATCAGAAATCTTTAAATTCAGTCTATTTGTTGCCATAGCAACCAGAATTTCCAACATAAGCAGATAAGAAAAGGATGTTCATAATTTCCATACTGCCATCTACCCATATGTCAAGTTTCATAAAAATATTTTCAACACTTTTTGCGTTATCACTGGATCCAGGTTATGTGTGAAATTTGCCATATTTTCAGTCTATTTGTTGCCATAGCAACCACAATTTTTAGTATAGGAAAAAAAGAAAAGACGTGCATAATCTCCATAATGCCATCTATCCATATATTAAGTTTCATAAAAATATTTTCAGTACTTTTTGCGTTATCGCGGGATCCAGGTTATGTGTAAAATTTGCCATATTTTCAGTCTATTTGTTGCCATAGCAACCAGAATTTTCAACATAGGAAGAAAAGAAAAAGACGTGCATAATCTCCATACTGCCATCTATCCATATATCAAGTTTCATTAAAATATTTTCAGTACTTTTTTCGTGATCGCGGGATCCAGTTTTGTGGACGGACGGACGGACGGACTGACGGACGGACGGACGGACGGACAGACAGACGGACGGAGGGTAAACCTAAAGTCCCCTCCGGTAAACCGGTAGGGGACTAATAATTTATTTCAATAGTGGTGACGTAATAAAATTCATCACTAACCGCTATTGAAATAATTTATTTCAATAGTGGTCGTAATAAAATTCATCACTAACCACTATTGAAACAAGAGCTGTCCGTAAGACAGCGCGCTCGACTTTTTTATTGCTTGCCAAAAAAAAAAGTTTTTGCAGTAAAAGGCAATACAAGAATCTCTGTATTTTTAAAGTGAACAATGGCCATGAGCATTAAGATATTTAGTGAAGAATTATTTTACTGAATTGTGTGATACCCTTGAACACTGCAGCAAAGTTTGAAATGTTTAAGTCAAAAGAGGGCTGGTAAGAAAGAAAAAAAAACTGAGTTGAGCCTTAAATAAATTTGGGAATCATGATTGTAAACAAGTATTCCAACTTTCAAATTAATATCTCAAACAGTTCAGTCAAAAAGTGGACTGGTACTAAAAACTTAACCAAGATTCTAAGTCGATAAAAGGCCTTAATTTTTAAAACAAATCCTTGACAGAGTTACCTTCTCTTGCGTACAGATGGGGGTAATGATGTGAAATAGCATTAAAAGTTTCAAAGCAATATCTCAAAGGGTTAAGGCAATAAGTGGATTTTACCCATATTCAATGTATTTTCTAAGTCAAAAAGGGGCATAATTCTGTCAAAAACCTTGACAGAGTTATGTCCTCTTGTCTGTTGATGAAGGTCGTGATGGTAAACAAGTATGGTCAGTTTCAAAGCAATACCTCCAATGGTTTTGAAATAAAGTGAGGTGGTACAAAAAACTTAACCAAGCTCAATACACTTTCTAAGTCAAAAAAGGGCCATAATTCTGTCAAAAACCTTGACAGAGTTATGTACTCTTGTCTGTAGATGGAGGTTATGATGGTGAACAAGTATGGTAAGTTTCAAAGCCATACTTGTAATACTTCTGAAATAAAGTGGGGTGGTACGAAAAACTTAACCAAGGTGTGACGCCAACGCCGACGCCGGGGCGAGTAGGATAGCTCCCCTTTTCATAGAAAAGTCGAGCTAATAATTTATCTTAATAGTGATGTTTATAATTACATGTATCCTTAATTGATTTATTTTAATATACAGGGGGTTTGAGTTGAAGTTCCGGTAATTTCCAATGTGTTAATTCTTGTACAAATAATTTACGATTGTCACATTATATATCAATAGAAAGAAAAAGGTAAAGAAAAGAATATGAAAACAATTCTATACATCATTCTATGAGATTTTTTTTATTTCTGCACAACAGTAAAAAATCCGAAAAGAGGTACGTTAAATTCATAGTCTCGGTTATAATTACTGTAAAATATAAGTATTTAATACCTTTTATTTGCATTTTAATTTGCGTGAATTGGTTATATATTTTTGCACACCCGTGAAAATTGTAACATTATACCATATTTCCTTTAAGTCTTGATTATTAATACCGTAAAATATGCAAGTATAATACCCGCTTTTTATATCTGATATTGTTCGTTAGATAAAGTGTTTCTTGCGTTACAATAGTAATAACAAAGTAATATTTCTAAAAAGTTCATTCTCGTCTACAATAAAAAAAAAATGAAACATTAGTCTTTAAAAGTGTCTGTAAAGTGACTCTTAAAATGAAATGCATCCCCAACTACTATTGATATAATTACTTCGATAGTAGTTGTATTTCAATAGTGGTTGCAAAGTGATTCTTCAAATGAAATAATCCCCAACCACTATTGAAATAATTTATTTCAATAGTGGTTTTATTTCAATAGTGGTTGCAAAGTGATTTTTCTAATGAAATGCATTCCGAACCACTATTGAAGTAATTTATTTCAATAGTGGTTTTATTTTAATAGTGGTTGCAACAAATAGTGGTTGCAACAATGCTTCTTTAGTATTTGTTATTTTTCTTCTTTGTTTTAATTTTACTAATAAAGCCCTGAATCGCTCGGGATAAAATGCATTGGTTCTAATAATGGGATGATTTGCAGAGATTTGAATATTTTTATTTACCCATCAGTATATTTTGAAAATTATTATAATAACTAATTAAAGATAATTATATTGATTGAAAGTATTCCAATATAACTTCAGGTTATAGAACAGACAATTCAGTTCTTTGGTAAACAATTAAATAATCTGAATATGAAAGGTGGAATCTAAATACTTTCTTTTGACAGAAAAAATCTTTTTTTATATAGTGAAGAATAGTATAACATAATTTTGAATTTGTTGATCTTAACAAATCAGACAATAAAGATGGCATCTGTGGTTACGGTCGCTGACTTCAAAACTTGTTGCCATTTACTGTGTTTGTTTGATATAAAACCGCACAAAAAGTCAAAAAGACAATATCAGCAAATGTTTTTACACAAGCTAAATCTTAAATTCTAATCCTCATCTATGCTTTGAGTAGTTAAAGGTGAACCCACCAAATAAAAATGCAAAAAGTAGATTTAGATCAATATCAATCGGAACATCTCGGCTTATTTCAATAATAACCTCGAAATTAATACGGATTGGACGTAGTTTTACCACTTAGTTATAAATGTAAACAAAAACAGAGGGTTAGTCTTTGATAATGTACAACAAATGTATATATTTGACATCCAAAGGAAAATAAAGTCTATTTCGTCCAAAGAACTATGATTGAAAATATGTCTAAGAATCATAATCGATTCACAAATGCCCACTGATGTAGACTTATGAACAAATCCGAATTAATGTCAACAGGTAGGCATTTTGTATTTTCGGTTTCTGCAGCCCAACCATAATTATAAGAACATAAATAATGTACTGTCTACTTATATATCATTACTACCAATGTACCAAATGTAGTTAGACATTTACTCGATATATTGGAATAAATTTAGTTAACAACTCCCAGTATTCAATAACTGTTTATTTTGTGTTAAGTTTTTTAGAGTAGGTTAGACCGAAATACCGTATCCGTCAAGTCTATTGTGTTCGAAGTCCATATTCGAAGACTAATAGAACGGGCCGAAAAGTTCGAGCAAAATGCTTAATATATATTAACATTATGAATAAAAACGAAAATACCAATCAATCAATTATTCGGTGTTATTTCAAAACAATCTCTATGTTTTCACTTGTGAAAATGCGTGCCAAATAAACATCAGACACTTGTCATTGGTAATTTAATTATCTGTATTTAACACCTGTTTAAATCATCCTACCAATCACCAAAGTGTTACAGTGCTAAATAAACAGTAGTTGCATTACATTTTTGACGGGGTTTTCTAAATGGGAAATGCATTGTTGTGCGATGCATTTAATTCACTATTTTGTTACCATATAATTACATATTCATTGCCAAACATTAAATGTTGGTGGTCAAATAAAACACGAGATAGATATATACTGTACTGGTATATGGTATTAGTGTTATTTTGATTTTGTACCTGGATTCAGTGCCAGAAATGGATTTCATATTTTTAATATCTTTTTTACTTACAAGCGCATTTCGTATGACCATTTTATAACTTTCACATCAAGTTCATAAAGATCTGAGGCAAAACAATATGTATTAAAACATGATGTTAGACATTCAGTTTCTAATAGAATACCTTTTTTATGTATATCAATACTCGTCATGATTTGTTTTATTAAAATATAGTATAAGAACCAATAAACTTAAGATTTCCTGTTATTTGAAGTGCACATGGAGATTTTGACAATATTTGTTTAGAAAAAAGTGAATTACAATTAAAAAATAAAAGGTTTGAAATGTTTATATTAATTACCGATGATAATATGTATACAAATATACTTAATATATTTTCTGTTTGAATGTGTTTCTGTTCCTTGAATAAAATTCTTGAGTTGAAGAATGATACGAATAACAAATAACGGCTCAATATGATTTCACTTATAATTCACTATATCTATTTAATTATGTATATTAATCAAACTTATAAAGACACATTTTTTCTTATAAAATCTAATACGTCTTTATTCACATTCTATTTTTTTCTCGAAAGTAACGTCTTCATTTTCTTTAATGAATAAGTGGGTCGAAATGTCAAGTCAATTCAGGGTCTAAGTCTCTAAAGGGTCTAAGTGTCATGGGTCGAAGTGACTTAGGAGTCGAGATGTCAAGGGGTCGATATGTTAAGGAGTCGGTCAAGGTCATGTACAATTCTATCTACCTTAATGTCTTCTCTGGTGAGTTAGTGTGCCTAAATATGGAGAAAGTTCATTCATAACTTACACAAAATTGACAATTGAAGTCAATGTCATTTATGATTGAAGTTCAAATTGAATTTGATATTCTTTCAGATATTGTTTAGAAATTGTTAATTGTTAATAATAGAACGCAAGAATCAACTCATTTTCAATTCTAATTATAATATCATAAAATATTACATCATCATATCATACAAAACATCAGGCAACTAACCTCAAAAAGGTGATCGGAAACCAATATATTGTGGTGAGATTTAATTGTCTGTTCATCAAATTTTTGGTCGGTACTTTCAATTAGCAATGCAGGACCTGGTCGGAGCATTTGTGTCAAGGCTTGCTGTGTTTTCTCTGTAAATTAACAAAACAACAACACATATCATAAACATAAATTTGCCCCCGGATGCTTATCTAAAGTAAAAGAACATTACCTTTGACTTCAAGAAACGGAACAGTTTCTTTTTTCCAAGTTAACTCAATTCATTCCAGAGGTTTCCGTGAATATTTGATGAATTGAGAAACCATTTCCATACTCAACAACTGATTAACTGTTTTAAATCCAAGTACATGTTTTACTATCACCTTTTTATTGTCAAACTTGCAATTGCTCGTGAAAGGTCTTCTTGATCAATGCTTTTGGCGTACATGTGTGACGTTGACCTTTGAGCTGAAGATCTTATTCTAATCGTCTTAAAATGAAACACAGCTATGGAATCCATCAATAACTGACAGGGTTGTAAATCAGACATGTAAATCAATATAGTTCAATGTGAAATTATTCCAAGTTTAAGTGCGACTTCGATTTTAGGTCTTCAAATATTGTTTTAACATGCGCCAAAATCATTCAAAAATCCTTCATGAATAACAAACAACGTAGCACTACCACGTGACTACAAAGATTTTTCCCCGATTCAAGTATGTTTTATTCATAACTTTGCTGTTACTAAACCGACTTTATTCATTTAAGGCGTAGAGTACCCGTAATTATATTAGCTTTTTTTAATCAAAATTTTGAAAAAAAAACACTGAATGTTTTTTTGAGAACATTCGAGTACAGTTAGTCGGGCCGAGTGGAGCGGTACACACTCATTTATCACAAGCGATTTCAAGCATTTCACTAGATAAATTTGACATAGTAAATCTGTAAGATTTAACTTTTTTTTTATGGAAAACTGAAAAAGAACGGTCGACTTGCTAGAAATCGGTTGTTATGATAAATGAGTGTGTACCGTTCCTCTCAGTCATGCCTATAAAAACAAAACTGTACTCAAAACCATTCAGGGGTTTTCAACTTACCGTGTATCAGCAAAGTTATTGATGAAAACATACCTGAATCGGTGAAAAATCTGTATGTACTGTACCCGCAAAGTCACATGGTATGGACACAAAGTCATGCAGCAGTCACGCCCAACTATTCAATGTCATATTAAGACTTTGGATGTATTACTTTAACTGTTTGGGCATAAAATTGCTAAAATTTTCGCGCGACACAATGTCATGATATCCGATTATCCGGAACATTTATGCCAAATGATTATAATCCTGAAAATAACTGATCTGGCACGACCATCAGTACACTTTTATGAAAACGTCATATTATGTGACCTTGAACTCTGAGCGCGACACCTGACTCGCGCAACATGGTGTCAAGATGTCTAACATATTAAAAGCAAATTATTTTTAAATTCATATAGGAGTGACAAAATTGGTTGCCATGACATCACAAGTCATGCACTTTAATATATTCTTGTGCATATCATCATCATGTCAAACACAATTACGCATAGATATTTTATCTATCAATCAAGGAATGACATAGTTGAGTATTGACCGGGTACCACTCCAGGTACGATTTTACGGCAAGTTTTTTTTTTACAATGTGTTGTGTTACATTATATTCAAGGTACAGCGTTATGCGCGTTACAATCTCAATCAACTTCATATCGTTGCAGAATTATTTATCTTAAAATGTATCTATAACTGACAAAATTATAAATCGTCTTAAAGTGTGGACAGACGGACGAGAGGAAGAACGGGCGCTGTCCAAACTATATGCGCTTCCCATAATACTAGTGACTAAAATAATGACACTGACGGATTTAAACACTGTATCGTTATATAATATTTTATTTATCCAGTGCTGTAGTACAGATATAATACCAAATAAGCTGTAATTATTATTCTAATATCATACAAATTGTAAACAATCGAACCGACTGAATAGACAGTATAGAAGTATAGAAGCGTTTAGCAACATTTGGAATATTTTATAACTATTTTATTTATAATGCCCCCCTTCGAAGAAGAGGGGGTATATTGTTTTGCTAATGTCGGTCTGTCTGTCGGTCCGTCGGTCTGTCGGTCTGTCCGTCGGTAGACCACATGGTTTCCGCTGATTATCTTGAAAAGTATTTATCACAAAGTCTTCATATTTCACATAGTGATTGGTCATAACTAGTAGATGACCCCTTTTGATCTTGGGGTCACTAGGTCAAAGGTCAAGGTCACAGGGGCCTTAAATGTCAAAATGGTTTCCGCTGATTATCTTGAAAAGTATGTATCACAAAGTCTTCATACTTCACATAGTGATTGGTCATCACTAGTAGATGACCCCTGTTGGTTTTGGGGTCACTAGGTCAAAGGTCAAGGTCACAGGGACCTTAAAATGTCAAAATGGTTTTCGCTGATTATCTTGAAAAGTATTCATCACAAAGTCTTCATATTTCACATAGTGATTGGTCATAGCTAGTAGATGACCCCTATTGATTTTAGGGTCACTAGGTCAAAGGTCAAGGTCACAGGGGCCTTAAATATCAAAAGGGTTTCCGCTGATTATCTTGAAAAGTATGTATCACAAAGTCTTCATACTTCACATAGTGATTGGTCATCACTAGTAGATGACTCCTATTGGTTTTGGGGTCACTAGGTCAAAGGTCAAGGTCACAGGGACCTTAAAATGTCAAAATGGTTTCCGTTGATTTTTCCATAATTGAACACTTCCATGTACCCATTTTTGGCAAGTTTCTGTAATAAAATTACCAATTATGTGAGTCAATGGCTAGAAAGGGGGGTATATGTGTCGTTCGACATTCTTGTTTATATTAAAGTTAAGTCTTTCTCTTGTTTTTGTTAAAACACGTTTTGTCAATATCGATATATATATAAAATTGTACTACATTTTAATACATACCATCATACTCTTTCAAAGCCATAACCTTTGCGTGCCTTAAATAGATCTCTGAGGGTCTTATCTTGTCTTGTGTCAACATCTTAGATGTACCCAAATCGTCATATATTCTCTTTTTGTCACCAGTGAGGTGAGTTCCTGAAAACTGTATTTTGTCACCCTTAATATCCGCATCTTCAGCTTCTTCACTTTGCTTTATCTTCTCTTGAGACAAAGAAACACTGTCTGTAAATTCGCTTAGCCATTCTTTCAATAAACGTTCTTCATCTTCACAGAGCCGTTGTAAATTATGCAAATGATTGTAACCAGCCTTTGTCTGATTCTTCATCTGCTCCGTCGGTACTTTTAACTCTAAGCGTGTTTCAAGATCCTGAACTATTCTCTTTAAACGAGTTATACTGAAAAAGATTTTTCTTGGTTAATATGGTTATATATAGTATACTAGTATTGCATTTCCTCCATGAGTTTTCAAGTTCATTCATTGAACATGTTATGACAATTATTTTTATATTTATATTCAGAGGCAGTAAGCGCATTTTATTTTCATACTAATGTTACAGGTGCTTCAATTACTATAGATAATATAAATAAAATCCTGAAACAGTATTTTGTATATTCGATTGAGAAATACATTTGAATAATTGCAAAATATATATTGTTTTATATATATTTTCCAGGTAATTTTTATAGCATCGTGTTTGAAATACATGTTTCTACAATATTGTATGTTAATATGTAAATCTGTTTCGTAAATAATGCTTTTGAAGATGTTTTTTCTATGCGTCTTTGTGTAAACTATATACGTCGCCATATTGTTTATTGTTTACATTGACAATATCGAGGAGACTACCATGTTATCATTGAATTGTATATTCGATTGAGAAATACATTTGAATAATTGCAAAATATATATTGTTTTATATATATTTTCCAGTAAATGCCCGCCGTCAGTCCAGCTTATAACCCTCACTCCTCAGTCGACGCACTTATAAACCTAATCTACAGAATCATATGACATATATATGAGACCCATATGTAACACTAATATGTAAAATTTGAAAAAGTAATGTAATAAGACCAACATATCTGATCGAGCAATAACTTATTTCTCGAATATACATGTAAAGCAAATGATTTCTTGAAAATTTCTAGCGCTATAACTGAACATTATTTGTATATATTCATATTTACCAACATGCTTTTATTATCATAATAACGAACAATAAGGAAATATATTTTTTAATTTTATAAACTGATTAATTAATCAAAGAAAATGATGTTAGGTGCATAACAAAAGTGCAGCAATAACATCTTATAAATATGAAGTGTTTAAGTATGCTTTTTTGTGATTCGTAAATAGATTACAATTACTTGCATAATACCTTTAAATGTAAAATGATCTCATAATCAATGACAGTCTGTTAATAAACCATGTTTTCTTTTAATGGTTTACTCTTTACAGGTTCACTGATAATTGGCATAAATTACCAATTTATAAATTCAAGTTTGATTGAAATCATACTAGAAGTGATTTATAGGTATTAGAAAGAGCATCGAAACACGAGGCTATCTGATTTGTACGAAGGGCGTACCCCCGAGTATTAATCAGATTGCCGAGTGTTTTGATGCTCTTTCTCTTATGTATCATAGTCAAACATAAAAACACGTTCCCTGTCGTCACAATATGAAATTCCAGAAAAAAATTTACTGAATAAGCAGCTTTTCTTTTCTGTGCAGTCAAAATAAGTAAACCCTAGTAGAAATGGGCCAATCAATGGGCACGCTCTGGAGTGCGGGTATCTAATACCTGCACTCCAGTTAACGCACGGTGCATGTATATGTATACGATTTAACACTGATACGTTTTCAACAGAAAGGTCCCCAAACTATGATACAAGACATGTATAACCATAAAAGTAATTGTTTTTATGATGACATATTGTTACTTCATAAATATAGTGTTGCTCAAATGAAAAAAATAATAAACAGTGTTTCGTTTACTTGAAACCATTTGCCCGCCCCCACCCTCCAACGCTATGGGTTTTAATCCCGCTATGAACTTTGGATTTTTCCTGAATAAGCTATCCACCTTGCTTAGAATTTTAGTGGTTCTACTCCACTCATGTCTGATGTAATGCACAAAAGGGCAACTAAAGTCTTCATCCACCAGTAAAGCTGGAAAATTGCAAAATGACTTCTACTGTGTCAGTGTAACATAAACGCCTAAAACCCACTCCCACCCCAAATCCCCGTAAAAATAAAATATAAACCTTATATTGAGTCATTAACTCGGTATATGAAGTATATCAAATATAATTTATATTTATTTTCTTGTTTTTACAAAACATTATCATTTATGTTTATATAATAAACTTTTCTTTTATGTCGATTACTTATAAATTTGTGTGTTAGTCTGTGTTTCAACAGAATAACAAACATTTCACTTTAATCATGATATTCAATCGTACTTACGTTTGCTTTATAAATATTTCAATCAGTTCAAATGGGATACCATCAATGCCCATAAAATCCTGTGCAATATATACAGAAACATTTATGTAGTGTATACAGTGATGTTATTTTTATGCAATCTCTATTGTTACATCGTTATTTTCAAATGTATGTGAAATGCATAAAATTAACAATTTTATAGACTTGATGAAAAAAATATGTTCACATATAGATATAAAGTTTGCGTTTAATTTATCACTTTACTACAATATGGTAACAGTTAAGACAATACAACATCTTCATGTACATGTCAACATTTATAAAATAGTATGACATTTTCTATCGAAAAAGGGGTTCAATTTTGAACAAAAGTAACATCTCACTCCTGGCAATATTTCTTTGAAACAATTAAAATCAAGTTGACGTTTTTTGCAGTCACTTAGGAATACGATAATACGATGGGTATAATTGTTTTTTTTGTTTTTGTTTTTTTTTGGGTTAAACATAAAACCAGCAAAGGTCAAATGTTGGAAAAAAACCTCTAAATATATTTGTAACGAAGTTACAGGATTAAGGCCTTACATAAAAAAGAATTTATGCGAATATATACCGACCTCGTGAACTGAATATTGTCAATTAAAATTTGAAAGACGTCTTTGAGTACAAATTCGGACTAAAAGACTTCATTTGGAAATATGGTTCTCTAAGAGTATGCTTAAAAATATTTTTATCAATATTTGTAATGTAAAACAGCCTTTTCGGTATAACACGCCACAAAAATCATTTGTAAACTTTGTATATGATAGCAGAAAAGTCATCTTTTCATATCTGATCTTAAAGCTGCATGCCTCCAGATAAGGGCAAAATATTTAAAGGGAACCAAACTTAGAAATAATTACTAAGCTGTTAAACACATTCTGAATTTAAGCAAACATTAACATGGTAAGTGCGATTAATGAGTGATTTTGCATTATACATTACGACATTTCTACTGCGTAGCTTTAACAGATATTGCTACTCCTTGCATATTTTCTACGTGGATTGTAAGTTCGTAAACAATGTCTAAATCACATTCTTTGTTCTTTTTACAACATTTTGATTTTAATTACGTTTTT